TATATATATATATATATATATATATATATATATATAGTTAGGGTATTGTATATTGTTAGGATATTGCCCACAACCTTAGAAAATTTACGTTCATGTGATTAAACAGGTGTAAATTCGTAAAAAATGAAGTTAAACATAATTTTAGCTGCGAGCATTTTTCCGAAATGTTGGAATTCGTTGGCTGCTTCGGCCATTCTCTGTAACTGATCACAATCGCATTCGGTTTTACGGGAATAGAATAGATAAACGCTTCAGAGCATTTCAGTGGCGATATCAACAGCGCAGTGCCAGTGAACTTATCAGGGTAAGTCTTATTAAGATTAGGATTTAGACTGGAGTGCTAACTTATACCCACCACAAATGACGGAGTTTTGGAGTCGGAAACCTTTTAAAGTATTTCTTGTACATTTTTACATTGCAGAACCTTTTCATTACCAATCCACGTTATAATTCACACTGCCGCTTTTTTGATTATCCATCTAGACTCGACGCTTACGAAATAGGTTTATGTGTTTTAAATTCTTTTCTGACTTCTATTGTGAATCTTTTTGTTGAACTTATTTTCTTATTACCTTTTTTCTTAGTTTAGGCAGTAACATAGCTTGTGGCTGTCATGCTGCTGTTTACGAGTTGCGTCGTACAGAAACGAGGGATCCTGATGTTGCCTTTGTTCGTAATACAGGTTTAACGATGCTTCAGAGCCAACCTACCGAGAGCTTCAGTGCTTCTGTGCAAGACAGGCTTCTTGTATGTCACTGTTTTGATTCTGTATCTTTTTTTTTCTTCCAAATCGCTCATCATTTTTGGAATTGAATTAAGAAGCGTCAGACTATGGATCATATAAGAGATGTATTTTTGAATGACAAAGACATTTCTTTTTCTTTTCTAGGCATATCCGTTAGCCTTAAAAATAATGTTTAATTACGATTTCAAAGCGCCTGAGCACTCTTTATGGACCGATATGGGGAGTGAATTAGTTCCATTGATTCAGAAGCAATATTCATTAGCAGGTCGCATGAGGAAGTTAGTGTTGCTTTTATTTGTTTGTTAGAAGCGGATCTTATATTTTGTTTTCTTCTTCAGAGCCGTAACGAGTCGCATTTACTAAGGCTAATTTGAAGCCTAATTAGGTTTATTAATGCACTTTAGCGTTTTTCTTTTTTTTTTTTTTGCAGAAACTTAATCTATCACTTTGTATTCTCTGGGTTCAGATTTTGTATATGTTAATGCAAATCATAAAACGCAATGTAGTTCGGCTTCTCTTTTTTTTGTTCGAGGGGTGGGTTAAAGAGTCAGTGAGAACCACATGTAGTTATTTAGACTGAAGATGTTACCACGCCCTCATCCGAATGTCATTAAAATGTACACTGCTTTTACCGATCGTATGCCCATCCTTCCGGATTCATATTCGCTTTATCCTGAAGCCCTTCCTTCTCTGAATTTTTGTGAACTTGCTATAAATGAACCAAAGACGCTTTTTATTGTTATGAAACGGTTTAATTTCATTCTCGTTTTTTTTTTTTGCTTCTTTTTTTACTGTATAGCACTTGTTGATGATTATATTTTGATATCTTCAACTTGTTTTCGACCTGGTAGTTTAGATATTTATTTTTTAGATATAGAATGACCTTAAGAGAATATGTATTAATTATGAAACGTAATTATTGGAAGGCACGGGTAATGTATGCGCAGTTACTGGAAGCAATCACTTATTTATACGATCATACTATCAGCCACCGAGATTTGAAATCTGACAATATATTACTTGATTTTGATTCTGACGGTAAGTATGAGGAAAATAGCATTTTTAATGGAAATTTAAGCTAGTTTTCTATGAAATAGCCAGCCCAAAATTGCTTTAAATTTTAATTGTAATTCAGAAGATACACCTCATCTGGTTGTTTGTGATTTTGGATGCGCTCTGGTAACGGGATCGTGGATTGTTGACTACCAAGATGATTCGGTTGATTTAGGTGGAAACTTAGCCCTTAGAGCACCTGAGGTGGAGTTTTCATCCACTTTTATTACTCTTTTAACAAGCAGGTATTAGTAAATCTCACAAAGCTTTCTTTTATCGATAGTCATCAACGAGTAGTACATGTTTTTGTGTCCTGCACTGTTCGACGTTAGTAGTACTGGTTTTTTTTATAAAGTCTTATTGTCTCACCTTAATTAAAAAATGTGCTTTTATTCTCTTTAACTTCAAATTATAAATTGTAAAAACGTTGAGCCCTGAGCAAATTTACCGTTTGATTTTTGATTTTACGTTGTTTAGACGTTCAGGTTAGTTGCGCTTGCCCGGGTCCTCGTAGCTTCGTCGATTTTCGCCTGGCCGATTTGTGGGCGTCTGCCACTCTTGGATATGAAATCTTCACCAGGTAAAAAGTTGCTATTCTTTTATACTCGGTTTTCTTTAGTAAATATTCTGCTGTCGCCTTTGTGTCAGTTGTGGAATCATGTAGTGGAGAAAGTAGCTGATCGTGGCGTTGAAAGCCTTTTGTTTTTCTAGAAATTAACAAAGTTATTTTAGAAGCAATCCGTTCTACAGTATGTTGAAAAGTCACAGTTACATGGAAGACGAGTTACCTCAATTACCTAAACGTGTTCATTATGCCGTCAGATTAGTTACAAAGGATATGTTACGGAGAGATCCGAAACAAGTATTTTAGTTCTTTATTTAGTTAAATATTTCTAACAAATGCATTGTTCTGTTATGTGTACCTTGTATTTTTTCTTTTTGTATAATTCCTGGAATTAGTTGTGTGTTCCAGCGACCTGACCCGCATGTAGCTGCAAATGTTGTAAGTTTTTCACTGTTTCGTTACGGAGAAAATATCAGAAAAATACTGGATGACTGTGGCCTAGATGAACTGTTTGTTTACACGGGGTTATCTGAACTGAAAACTACAGTTTCAGCAACAATTTCAAAGGTAATTCTTGTCTGCGGGTAGTTTGTTACTTGTTAATGTGAGTTTTTATGTTTATGAGTTAAGCTTTGTGTTCTGCTTAAAACTTTTAATTTGGTTGTTGCTTCTGTAAATTGTTTGCGGTATAGTTTCAAAATAACTTTTCTGTTCATGAGACATTTTTTCAGCTGAAGAAAAAAGTTGAAGAAACATTTGACGACTTAATGTTATTATACGCGACTGAGACTATGGTATCACGTCGCCTCTGTCCTGGGATCATAAGCAGTGCAGAATTACAAGTGTGGAATAGTACTTTATTGATTTTTAATCTGTAATTGATGTTGCGGTAGGCAGAGTTTTTACTGGCTGTTGTTACTGTGGCAAGCTTTTTCTATTTGGTTTTTAGAATCTTTGTTGATTATAACTTATATCAAGTTACTTTCAGTTACGAGCAACTTTCCTTTCACGTCTGGATCGTGAAAAGTTTCAAACCTCCTTACAGTACTTCTACAATGTTGAAGAAGGTAATGATCTTTTTGCTTTTTGAAGTGGAGTATGATTAATATGTGTTGATTTAATTTTTGAAATTTGGCTAAATCCTCATTTGTTGGTAGCAGCCGTAATTAATATTTTTTTATTTGTTTATGAAAATATTTTTATAAGAGTGTCTTACAACTATATCATTTTTCATCAGCTTGTTTGTATTGTCAGTGCCAGAACTTAAAGTAGACTTACTGGTCGTCGAATAAACTACGCCTGAACAGCTTTCTTGGGTTAAGGAAGTTGACTATGGTCTTACTGTAATAATTTTTCATTATCAGTGTTTGTTCAGACAAAAAGGAGAAAATCTTTTTATACAAAATTTGTTAGCGTATTGAAAGGCAAAGAACGTTGCTTGTTTTTAGACCTTACAAAATTTCAGAGTTCTTTACCAATCTGTTTGAGAAGTAGCCTCAGGCTAGAAAATTTGTTATTTTGACTCATTTCCTACTTACTCGCTGTCGAATATTTTTAAAAGTTAGCAGACTCCCGCTGCCGAATTATTTTCTACTTGAGTTAACCGTTCAATTACACGATGGTAATAATAATTCCTGTCGTATTTTAGAGTAGATTTGTGTCGCGTGATCTACCGAGTCGCGATCTTCATTGTATAGCGCTGGCTGCTCTTGGAATGAAAAAAGTGCTCAGGGATTAAACTGGCGACTCGTACGGTATTTGCGGCGTGGGCTGGAATACATCTTTTGCTCCAGTGAATTAGAATGTTTAATAGCAGTTAGACTCAAAATTTGTAGATGTAGAATTGTAGATGTTTAAGTGAACTAAGGGGCAAAGAAACCGTCTTCAGCTTTTGCAGTCATGATTAATATAGCATCACGTCACTGAGTGTTTGATTTATATGACACTTAGTGAAACTGGTTTATGGGTAACGTACTGCTTCAGATACGGTTTAAGCAGTATCATTGAAAATATCTGCTAGGACTGTTTTTCAAAGGATATTGATGGCAGGTCCATGTTTATATTTAGTTTAAGTTGCTTTTGTCTTTTGCTGACAGTAGTAGATTTTGAAATTTTTTAAATTTATTGTAGTACTGTTCTGGTTGCTTGTTTCCGTAAGCCATAGCTGTAACGTCTTCTTAAGGGTATCGCTTAATATTTTTTTATGTAGGAAACTTTGCATAAATGGTGCATTTTTTAGAGATGTTTGGTGGTACTGGGATAGAAATAAATTTCTGAATTCATATTATGAGATGTCTCTTACGCACTTCCAGTGATTGTCAACGCTCATTTGTTGGGGAATGAGACGAAGTTCCAGCATGGTGTTTCAAAACTATTGCAGTTATTTCAAAGACTGTGCAAAAATTTTGGATTGTTTTATGTAGTCTTTGAAGTTAAATTGAGAATTTCCTTTGTAAATAAAGTCGAGGTTCTACTGTGTTTTCTAGTTATATTTATAAGAGTTTCTTAAATATATTGATAGGCAGGCTGTTCATCGTTTTTGTCGGCAGTTTTCATACCAATTTTATAAAATTTCCACTTCA